TGTCGGATATGTTGTTTCACATATACACTTTGGTCAGGTTGGAAAATGTCAGGTGGTTCTCGATTTGTGTTTAATTTACCAGTTATGTTTTCTTTTTGCTTTATTAATTTCTCGTTAAGGGTAGCATGTAGAATTTTAGTTTTACTTTTATGATCTGTAATATAGTCGTTAATTAGGAGTTGATCTAAGTTTATATCAAAAGGGTTGTTTCCTGTGATATGTCCATTAATTACGTCGATAAGTTTCATCTTTGTGGTAGAGTGGATTGAATAATTATAAGCCAATATAGCATATATCATTTTCTTGCTAATAGGTACTTTATCGAACTTTTGATTATTTAATAATCGTACGTGTTCTGACAGGGTGGAATGTAGTCTTTCGATTGCTCCATTTGATTGAGGGTGATTTGGAGAGCAAAAATGAATGGAAACTTTATAAAGTTGTAAAAGTTCTGTCATCACTGTTTTCTTAAATTCAGTGCCGTTGTCGACAATAATTTGTTTCGGAATGTTGTGATGGGAAAAGTAAAATAGAAGGTTATCGACAATTTCTGTGGCTACTAAAGATTTTAATGGGTACGCTTGGGCATATTTGGAGAAACTATCAATAATTGTTAAGAATTTAGTTTGTTCAAGAGTCTATGTGTCCAAATGAATGATTTCAAATGGCCTAGTCGCTGTTGGGGTGATATTAATTTCTATGTTAACAGGGTGTCGATCGTATTTGGCAATTTGACATATTTCACATTCGTTTATATAGGATTGAATTGAACTTTTTAAATCTGGCCAATAATATTTTGTTTTAATCCTTTGGATAGTCTCTTCTATTCCTCTGTGGTTAGTTTTCGATTCATGATAATTTTTTGATTTCTTCGATATTATATATTTTCGGTTACATCGATGAGTTTATATAAACATCGGTTTAATTTTATTGACGGCCATTTAAAGTTTTTTCGTACTACTTCACAGAATGGTTCGTAAGTATCCGAATTTGCAAAATATAAATAATATTGCTTATCAGAGATGCTATATTCTTTTACAAATGTGATTATATCATTTTCAAAATTACTTTTTGAAATTTGAACTGTAAATCTACGTTTTTTAATACATCTTGAATAATAATTTGGTTTGCACCGTAGTTAACTGCAATTTCTGCAATTGGAATGCCAACAATAGGATTTTGTTCGTCATTCGAGTATACTAACAGCGGTGATGCTGTTATCATCTGGTATCGTATTTTCATCGTCAGCTTGTCCCAGTGTAGAAAGTAGATCAAGGTTTACACTTTCTGGGTGTGGGTCACTGTTTTGAGAAGTGCTCGGCTGATTCATTTTTGAATTAGGTTGACCGCAAAGTATTGATTCAGCAACTTCGTTTACATATTCGTCAATGTTAAACTCTGTTTCCTTTGTATGTAGTTCGATGAGACAAGGCGTCGGCATTTATGTTGAGCTTGCCTTTTTTTATAGATTATTTGATAATCAAATTCTTTCAACTTAACTCTCCATGGCACTAGTTTTGAGCTTTGGTCTTTTAATGAAAACAACCATTGTAAAGGTTTGTGGTCGGTAATGATATTAAATTTTCGGCCAAATAGATATGGGCTGAAGTGTTTGGTTGCCCAAACAAGTCAAATACATTCCTTTTCAATCGTTTAATATTTTTGCTCGGAATCGTTAAGGGTTCTAGAAGCATGTGCAATAGAGAGGTCATGACCAATAGGTCCTTGACTTAGAATGCATCCAAGGGCGACGTTGCTTGCATCACAAGTGAGATTGAAGGGTTTATTGAAGTCGGGGTATTGCAAAATTGGTTCGKTAATAAGTATATTTTTACATCTTTCGAAACACGATAGAAATTCTTCATTGTGGATTATTTTGGCACCTTTTTTCAAACATTTGGTTAAGGGCTTGGTAATTTGGGCAAAGTTGTTGATAAATCGCCTATAATAACCAAGAAGGCCTAAAAATCCTTTGATTTGCTTGGTAGTTTGAAGAATTGGGTAATTTTTTACAGCACTAATTTTGTCAGGATTAAGTTTTACTCCTTCTGGGGTAACGATCTGACCTAAGTAAGCGACTTCTTTCTTACGAAATTCTGTCTTGTCGAGCTGAACTTTAAAGTTAGCGTCTCTGAGTCGGTTGAAAACATCTGTAAGTTTTTCGATGTGTTCTTGAAGAGAACTGGAAAATACGATAATATCATCAAGATAAACAGCACACTTTTCTTTTGTAATGCCGCGAAACATATTGTCCATGCAACGCTGGAATGTAGCAGGGGCATTTTTGAGGCCAAATGGCATTCGAAGAAATTCGTAATGGCCATTTTCAGCACTAAATGCTGTTTTTGGGATGTCAGATTTGTTCATTTCGATTTGATGGAACCCACAGGCTAAATTTTAATAAAAAAAAAAAAACATTGAATTGAGTCCGCGAAAGTCAATTACAACTCTCCATTTCTGTTTACCAGAAGCGTCCAGTTTTTTAGGGACGGCCCAAATTGGAAAAGACCAAGGTGAATCACTTTGTCGGATAATGTTTTGATTAAGCATTTTGTTGATTTGAGCTTTTACCTCGATCTTGTGTATATAGGGGTATCGATAAGTTTTATTATAGATTGGAATTTAATTTGGTGTTTTGATATGATGTTTGATTTTACTTGTGAATGTGAGGGGTGATCCTTTTTGATAGAAAATATCAGAATATTTTTGACACAATTTAGTTACGGCATTTTTCTTTTCTAAGTTTAAATGATTAGTTCTAATCAGAGATGAATCGAATTTTGGAACTTTTGGACTGTCGTCAAAGTTGTTTAAATTAATTTGCGTCAATTGCTTTTTCTCAAATTTTTCTGCTTTTAACGGCTCTGAAAAGTCCAAGGTGATTGGTTCACAGATGTTGTTTAGAATGGTCGTTATGGCAAATCCTTGTTTTGCTATGGTTAGACACTCTGGAATTTCACAGTTGTGTATTTTTTGATACGAGTTAACGATCAATGGCCGAGACTTTGTTTTTAAAATATTTATTTAAAATTACAAAGTTGACTGTTAACAATTTTTATGTACCAAACTCTTTGGTGGTTTTCAGCTGACTTCCTGACTTAAAAGCTACCCTTAAAATTGTAAACAAAATCCTAGCCTTAACCTACTGCCAAAAATGCATTTGGATATTATCTAATTTACACATGTATGGTTCGCACACTTGAACCAGTAAGTGTTCAATTCCTGGGAACCAAGGGATGGCACTTCACGTTAAGGGTGTCATAGACAAGTTTGGCGCCATAGCCAAGTCAAGTGCGGATCGTTAGGCCTGACATAACTTACGGAATTATTATTATAAGCCCAAATGGGGCTCCCATTTACTGAAATACCATGAATTTACCACAAAAATATTTTTAAAATGTCCGCTCGGTAGGCGTCAGACAATTCATAAAATAATACTTTTTAAAAATCATACGGTTTAGCCGCAAACTTCGGTGCCGTATAGCGTGAATAACCGCCGTACTTTCAGAACTAAACAAAAAACAAAAAAAAAGAAACTTAACACTAGCACGTGAATTAAAAAAAAAAAATGTACGTGGTGGTTGCTTGGTGTGTGGGTTTCGGCTCTCGCAGCGGGTGGGCTGGCGTTTACGCTTTCACTCGACTAACCAGCTCGGGTTCTCGATTGAGAATGCGGTGTTATAGGAGTACAGAAAAAATAGTAAAAAAATTAATTGTTATTAGAAACTGAGAAATTTGCAAAAAACTATATTAGCAAAACGACATCAATGTTTTTCAGGGTAATCTGCCTAATTAACATTACGTAAATACCTGTTGCGTCGTATTAAAACTCCGGTAACCATGGATGATTAGAGAAAGTGACAATAAGATAGACAAGGATAAACGGTAAATTCAACAGGAATCGTTGAATGACGGAACCTATTTAGAAACTCATAATCTTGAATTATTAATTTGTTTACAAATTACAAAAACATACATTTGAGTCTGTAACTCCAAGCAAGGGCCTGTGTAATCAATCACCTTATTATACACTCTTCTCGAGCAGCTTCTTGTATTCGGTTAATTAACTCCTGCTCAATGTACACTGATCTTCAGTAACACATTGGAGGAATGTAGCCGGTATTTATTTGGTGCCTGGGAAAGTGTCAGTTGTTGTGCAATGTTCTGAGAGTCCCTGAAAGGCTTTTCTGAAATTATGTCCAATACGTGTTCCTCTGGGTCTGGAACCCGAACATCCATTCCATCCATTGTCGTCAACTATTTTCCTGGAACCACTCTCCTCGCCCTTTGTTGGGGTGAGGTCTTTCAGCTTCTGCTATATGACTGAAGCATTTCCCCTGGACTAATGGCATATCCGCAAATTTGTGAAAGGAAATTCAAAGTAAGTCATAGTGTGCTAAATTGTTGTTATTATTGACAAGGGCTATCCACCTGTAACTATCTGTTCATGACAAAAAACATTATTGCCGCTTCGACTTTTCATCAAAAAATTGTAGGAGAGAACTTCTAAGACAAAAATGTTTGTAATTTGAAGCAAAGATCCTAATTTGTATTTTTGAATGCTTAAGTATTCCAATATGTTACCAATTAAACATAGAATGCGTTCAAAATAATGCTTAATAACAAAGTTAAATTTCGATTTTCAACTGTTAATATCTTCTAAAATTATCTAAAAAAAATTTCAATATTTTTATCGTAGCTTCCAATTGATCAGCCAATAAACCCTAAAAGGAATAACGCCAATTTTGCATCACCCTGTATGTTACGTGACTAGCTAGTATGCTGCTAAAATCCTTAGAATTTTTCCTGTTTCCCGCGTAGGTCTAGCAATTTATTTCAATGAAAGTATGAAAAAATGTTCTAATTTTACGTATTGCTTTCACCAAATCTTTCTTAGACGGTGTGAAGTTTTGCATCACTTTGGTAAGAAACCAACGGTTTGATTTGTATTTTATCCCAGTAAAAGATATTAAATTTTTAATATGATATATTTTTTTCAGAATGAAGAAGATGATAAGAAGTCATCAATGCACTATGCCAGCTTCAATTTTATTAACTCGATAATTGGCAGCGGAGTAATAGGTTTGTAAAAAAATATATATCTATATATATAAATAATCTTTATTTCCAAAGGAAAAAGGCTATCGACCCCACATTGATCTTTCTGTCTTTGTACTTATAATTAATTATTAAAAAATTAGACTATTCCTAATATTACATTAATTAAACTATCATGGTATTACAATTGAGTTAGTTGTGGCGTTTGTAGGTGTATAAGTAAAGTATTTGTTGGAGAGCGAAAACGAGATTGTCTTGTCTGTCTTGTGAGGCAAAGAGGGTTTAGTATATATTTAAAATTAAATTTTGTTGTCAATTTGTCAAAAAGTACTTGTAACGCATTTATATTTGAAATCCACCCATCAATGCAAGATGGATTACAAGACTTTTTATTCATAACTTTTAAATCACCATTGTACGTACTTTCCTGACTGTGTTTCAATTCCAAACAAAACCGAAACGTTTTTTTAAATTGATAAATGAACAATAAATAAATGACTGAAGAACCCAGGACTTGATTTTAATTTTAAATCACCCAAATATGTTTTTAATTATTTCAGCTTTTCTAAATGATGACCAACGATGATTTTACCAACATAGGTTTTCTATATATTTTATCATTATAAAATTGAGATTTCAAAATATCAAAAAGCGTGTCAATTTGTGATATAAAATTGGCCCTATGTACTGCATTAAAAGGCAAATTGTTCATCGAAACATGACACATTACACCAACATGAACCGAGTGGCTTAAAACCTGAGTTGCTAAACACACTCTTATAGGGCTAAAAGGGGGCAACGTAATACACCTTGTTGATAACTTTGGTGCCATTCTTGGAATGTTATTTGAATCTGGCTCATAAAATTTTTGAATATGTGACCAGGAATAAACTTCATTTTTTCTTTGAATTTCATATTTTTTAAAATTATTTCGCAAACATTTCAGTGAATGTAGCGTATCGTAGAAGAAATACATTTTTTCGTTGCAAAAATTAATTTATGGTTTCTCAACTGTTACAGAAAGTAGTTTCCTCATTTTTACATTGTTAATGCCTAAATCGCATACTACCGTCTTTACAAGAAAACCCGCGTCTGAATTTGTTTCAATAGAATCTATTATTGTTTCTTTGAGTACATCACCTAACAATGCGTCTTTACTTACAAAATAACCTACTACTTGCCGCTAGAGGCGCTAGTGTAGGAGCATCCAAAAATCGCTGTCAGTTGAACGTATTATAGTCTATAGTATTTGGTTCCACGCACAACCCTATCTCACGCTCGGTGGACGCATTAAGGCGCAAGGGTAGTTGCGTGGAAATACCTTTGTGGCGCTAACATTCCCCCGGCCTTGGAAGGGCTAGCTTTCAACATAAAAAATATGGATCCATAATTACATAATTAAATTACACTAAAACTAATAAAATAAACATAATAGTATGTACCACAAGACGTTATGGCACTAACACTGATCCAACGGTAACGGACACAATTTCGCAAAAGAGCGATGCACAACACCTCCATTCGTGCGAACGTCAGCAACTCGCGAAATGCCATCGGTCCCTGGATGAACCTCGACAATTCTGTCAAGTCTCCATTGAAGGGGCGGCTGCTGTTCTTCCTTCATCAGAACTAAGGTGTCCTTTTTCAGTTCCGAGCGATTTTGCCTCTACTTTGTACGCTGTTGAAGCTCAGAAATGTATTCTAAGCTCCACCGTTTCCACACGTTCTGATGGAACTGCTGAACGCGTGGAAAAGTTGACAGTCTGGATTCAGATACATGAGTGACGTCTGAGGCTGAAAGTCATTGGGATCCGAGGATAATGGGGATATAGAACGGGAATTTAGAGTCGCCGCTATCTGTAAAAGCAAAGTGCTTAGCTCTTCGTACGTCAAAATTGACTTGCCGATAACACGCCTCAGATGGTACTTTGAGGATTTAATTCCCGCCTCCCATAAGCCACCAAAATGAGGGCTATGTGCTGGTATGAAATGCCACCTAATTCCCTCGCTAGCATTTGCTTCTGAAATGTGATCGTTATTGGTTTGTAAAAATTCTCCTAGGTCTAGAAGTTCGGAATTTGCACCCACAAAGTTTGTACCGCTGTTGGAGTAAACATGCAATAGTTTACCACGAAGAGCAACAAAACGACCAAACGCGAGGATAAAGGCCTCGGTGGTCAAATCGGTTACCAGCTCAAGATGAACAGACTGTGTTGAAAAGCAAGCAAAAAAGCACAGGTAACACTTAGAAGTTTTTCAACCTCTTCCCTTACGGTCTTTTATTATAAATGGTCCAGCATAATCAACCCCTGACACATGGAAAGGGGGGGAGGCCTGACACGGTGGGAAGGCAAATTTCCCATAATTGGATTAATAAACTTGGGAGAGGAGCGAAAGCACTTAATACACGTATGAACAACTTTTCTAACAAGACCCCGTTCAAAAACAATCCAATATTGTTCTCTTAAAGAGGAAAGTAGTAGCTGGGGGCTAGCATGAAGTAATTTTATACGTAAGAAGAAAGCGCGTCTCCTGAGTTCACTGGCTTTTTTGCTGCGATGCCCTGAAACGAAGATCACTCCGACCTTCTTGAAGATGAAAATATATTTCAGAACCAACCAGGCCAAGAGAATCTACGACCGGACTGAACGGGCTTTTTTACGCGAACGGATACATGAGCCACGCCGAGATCTTGCACGTGTTGACAATAGACTTACCTGTCAACATAGAACTAGCCAACAAATTGCACTGGATCTATTGGAAAAAGATGGCTCGATTAACAACCGAACGGATGATGGTTGCCGAATCGGCCAATCGCCAAAAGAAAAAAAATGATGTGCGTCACGGGACGCTCGACAAACGTGATAACTTCATATAGTTATAGAAACCATAGACAACATAATATCGAACTTGTTTAACGTATGATGGCAGGAATAATTTTACTTTATAATTTTAATATTATCCTTGGTTTAATAATATTTGAAGAGTTTAGGAACAGGTAAAATGTAATTTAATTTCTTTTTGAATGTAAAAAATCTTTTATCTGCGGTCAAGCGGTCAAGTGGTCACCCATCCAAGTACTAACCGCGCCCGACGTTGCTTAACTTCGGTGATCGGACGAGATAGATAGATAGATAAAACATTAATATTTACATTATATACAGATATTAACAGATTAACAACAACAACAACAAATGACAGGAGCAAGCTCCTGTCAGTGCATGGCCAGATGGTCGGCCAGTTGCTTCTCTGCCTATGGTTTAAATGGGCGGAAAGCAGTCCAGTACCTGGACAGAGCCCTTACAAGGGCATTCGCGGATTCGCAATCGCGCGAAAACGTGAGGAGATAATCTTTAAATGGCGACTTTTCCTTCACTGGAAGGGCATTCATTGAGGAAAAAAGGTCTTCCTGAAGGGAAGCCAAAAACCCCTTTTGCTTCGATCTTTAAATTGATACTATCAGCCGTGGCGTTTGCCGCAGGCAGTAAACGATCTTATGATCTAGGCCACGCCCTTCGCTCTGACCGGAGCAAGCCTTGCCAGCAGGCCTTGCACCGACCAAAACAAAAGAGCTAGGTTTCAGTCAGTCACGTCATGTTGG